ACTGAGACTGGAAGTCGCTGGAAATTCACAGAAATTTAGGCAGAGGTAAGGACACTAACTCTCAAGGAATAAGGTAAATCCAGGTAACATATATGGGTTATAATAACTTTGTATTTATTAGAACTTTCATTGGTTCACTTGCAAACTGAGCTTTCAACCCTAATTTCCCCTTAGGTCTTAAGGTCACTAACTCAGGATTCCCTTCCAATAGGGGTTTTTGTTTGTTTGTGCTTTTGTTTGTTTGAATGCTATGTTGATAATTCCAGGAAATCCAGGTTTTAAGATGTCAAGGGCAAGAAGAGAGAGAAGAGCAAATACAGGCTTCCTTCAGGAATTTTGAATTTGCCTTCCTGTCTGCCCAACCTCCCCCCACTACACACACACCAAGGTGGGGCATGCCTAAAAGGCCTAGGACTATACTCTTTCCCCTTTCGTCCCTCCTGTTCCCCTTTGTCTCTGCTCCTCTCTTTACCACTCCTTCTCAGAAACAAGTTGGTAAAGTAGACAGAGGAAACCACCTCATTTTAAAGCTTCGAACTCTAAAAGAAATCCAATTGTCTTTGCTCCTATGTTGCAAACACAGCCTGTCTCAGGAGCTCCTTAGTGGAGCAGATGATTTAGAGGTAAATTTGTCTTCTGTCCCAACGCTTGCTCCTTCCTCATCAGAAATGGGAAAGAGGGACTTCCCTGGTGGCACAGTGGTTAAGAATCCACCTGCCAATGCAGGGGACACGGGTTTGAGCCCTGGTCCGGGAAGATCCCACATGCCGCGGAGCAACTAAGCCCGTGCGCCGCAACTACTGAAGCCCGCGTGCCTAGAGCCTGTGCTCCGCAACAAGAGAAGCCACTGCAATGAGAAGTCCGCACACTGCAACGAAGAGTAGCCCCCGCTCGCTGCAACTAGAGAAAGACAGTGTGCAGCAGCGAAAACCCAATGCAGCCATAAACAAACAAACAAACAAATAAATAAATAAAAAGAAATGGGAAAGAAAGACCCCATGAAATCTAAAGCCTTTGGAACCATATGAGGCTCAAACACCTGGCCAAAAAATAGCCTTCCTCTCCCTTACTGCTCATCTTGGGGTGGTTTTGATCTTTTAGTGACCCTAGAGTTGTTCAATACTTGGCAAGTAGAAGAAGACCTTAATACTTTTTCACACCCCTCCCACCAGAAGGATCTCATAAGCTTCTCAGTACCAGTGACGGCAGCCAAACCAGATGTCCACTCGTAAAGGAGTGCTTTTATTTTTTATTTATTTATTTTTATTTATTTATTATTTTTGGTTGTGTTGGGTCTTCGTTGCTGCACACAGGCTTTCTCTAGTTGCGGCGAGTGGGGGCTACTCTTCATTGCGGTACGCAGGCTTCTCATTGTGGTGGCTTCTCTTGTTGCAGAGCACAGGCTCTAGGCCCATGGGCTTCAGTAGATGTGGTGCGTGGGCTCAGTAGTTGTGGCTCGTGGGCTCTAGAGCGCAGGCTCAGTAGTTGTGGTGCACGGGCTTAGTTGCTCTGCGGCATGTGGGATCTTCCCGGACCAGGGCTCAAACCTGTGTCCCCTGCATTGGCAGGCAGAGTCTTAACCACTGCGCCACGAGGGCAGCCCAAGGAGTGCTTTTAAATTGGGTTAACATAGATCAGTTGAAGTAACATATGTCAAGTGCCTGTCATGCACTGTGCACCATGCGAAATACTTCATGTCTGTTTATATTTCATCTAGGAGCTCACAACTTAGTGTGACCAACATCCCAGTTTGCTTCGGACTGACCGGTTTTAGCACTGACAGTCCCATGTCCCATGTCCTGGGAAAGCCCTCCATCCCAGTTAAACTGAAACAGTTGGTCACCCTACAACAATCTTTCACTCTGCAGATGAAGGCGCTGAGACCCTAGTGCCTACACAACAGGTTGAGCTTGGCCGGTCTTGTTCCTCTTAGATCTTGGCTCCGGTTCTTAACACCAGCCAAGAGATGCCAAAGGGCAGCCATATTTCTACCCTCTTGCTTGTAAGAGCTCTCAAGAGGTTCTCAGAGCCAGAAAATGCATTCTTTCCAGGGAAGGAAGCATGGTACTTGCTGATTCTCACCACAGCTTGATGGTTCTATTCCCTGCCTATGCTCTGCTGGAGTCAAAATTGATTGGCTGCTAAGTACTGACTTCCTAAATTATATCCATATTGGAAGAAGGGGTGGTAATCCAACTGCTATGGCGTATCATATCATGGTGTAACTACTACCTACCTATCCCCGTCATCATAAGGCAATTTGGCTGCTTAAAAGGATACAATTCTCAGCCCATATCCAACATGGTGACTGACCAGTGATAACTTACAGAGGATAGTAGTGTAGTGGAAGGGACACACACAGGTTTTAAAGTCTACAGACCTTGTGTTCAAATTCTAGTTTCACTGATTACCGCTGTATCATACTACATCTCTTCAAACCTTGATTTCCCAATCTGAAGATGAGGGTAATAATATCTCCTTTTTATTAACAGTATACATTTAGTTAACAAAATTACAATGAAATACCATTTCATGGTACAAATTCTTGTCATTGTTTTGTGAGGCAGAAACTAAAGGAGTCACCTGTCAATCCTTCATCTGCACAGCCTGCTTTACTCTCAGGCCTAGCTATGTCTAGCCACCTGCCTGGCCAGCACCCACGCCCTCCGTTCTGCATGATTCCCCTCTTCTGTAGAGGTAGGTCCCACTTGGACTTTGTGGCCAGCTAGACCACCTGCCTGGGCTGTCTGAATGGATTCATAAAATAGACAGGACACTCAGAGAGGGAAAACACATGTGGTCAGTTGTCCTACAGCAAAGAAAAGTGGCAGATTCAGGCAATTATCTAGATGATGCAGTAAAATTACTTGGGCACTGTTTTGTTTTCCCTTCCTCGGGTCATTGTTACTGACCCTGGGATGTGGTGGAGCAGGGTTTATATTTGCATCATACACACAATGCCCTGTTTGGTTTGAAAGAAGTGAAGGACTGAGGGGTGAACCTCTACCACCCCTAAGAGAATGGCCGGAACAAGCTCAGCCCCCATGGGCTACAGAAAACTTGCGGTGGCTGTTGACTTTGCTAGCAGGCTTTGTGGCCCCCTTAAGTCAGCATGTCTGGAACTGTGGTCTGGAAAGTATTCTTAGGGGTAGGTGGGATCTATTAGAATTTTTTAATTTCATGTTTCCATTTTGATGATAATCTTAAAAAGATTTCTTTCATTAGATATAAGGGCAAAACTTTTCTGTTGTTATAATTCAAAAATGTAAGATACTTTTACAGAATAAAACCTTAATTAAGATATTATTTCTCAAACTGGGATTTTTATGGTCCCCTGGGGCTCTACAAATGTACAAATGCATTTTCATGGGTCCACAACCACTTTTCCCTTTAAAAGGGGTTCTTACTTTACCCCAGCTTGAAAGACATGGCCTGAAATTTCCTGTCCTCCTAGGCCCTCCCATTCTCTCCCCTGTTCCACAGCCATGCCATGTGACATGCATGGGAGTAGCAGGCTGTGAAGAGAATGAACTGAATGTGCAAACGTACCAAAGTATTCTCCATTCCCTCCCCTTTGGTTTCCAGTGAAAACCAGTGTCCCATTAACCAGAAACCACCAAAACAACATAAAATCCACCGTTCATGACCACTTCTGTGATGCACCATGTTGCATCAGCAAATACCATTTGTTAGACCTCCTCCAAACCCTTCGATAAGAGAGCACCAGCTCTAACCCACTTTCCTCTTCCCTGACTCAGGAAGGATCCAGCAGACTCAACTTTGAAAGGGTGACTTCACCTCTGAATGTGGTGGGGTGACAGGAGAATGCCCCAGAGAGTGAGTGGGAGCGTCCAGATCCAACATGGGGAGCAGGCCTTCCCTCCAGGCTAGCCCTCCTTTGGGTCTCTGATATGTCTACCCCGAACATGCATGTGTGCATAAGCCTGTGTGTGCATGTTTGTGTGTATGTGTGCACATGCATATTTTAATCAAAGCTTATCTCTTAAACTAGACACCTCCAAAGGACTCCCCATTAACCCTTCTCCCACAGAGGCACATTTACTTTGGAAAAGTCACAGGCTTTCGTAGACTTGGTGCCAATGACAGCAGTTGTTCAGGGCAGTGCAGGGTTGGGGGTGACTCAGATGGCCTTCGCAAGCGTGTATGTCAGGTCTCCTATAGGAATGTTAAGAGGTTGTTACTGCCTCTGACATTCTTTTGAAGGTTTAGATGGTAAAATAACTCATTTTGCCTTGCTCAAGACAGTGGAACTATATAGTAGAAACCAATTAGGTACCATTTATTATGCAGATTTGGGATATGCTGCAGGTGAAATCATGTCCCTAGAAACAGCGAAGGCTCAAAAGGATAAAATGTCACAGTTGTGCTCTAATCTTTTCACTCCTCCTAAGATTGATACTTTTCTTTCCACAGGAAAGAACAAAAGACTGATGTTTAACCAGCCCAGAACTGATTTCCTCAACAGCAGAGGAAGGCCTCAGGGGCTCTGCTGTCCTGGGAGAAAGCCTCCAGGACTCTGCAAGCTGAGGAGGAGGGTGCCCAGACAATTCCAGACCATTCCTTCAAGCTCAGGTGAAGAGCGAGGGTCGGGGGAATGCAATAAGGAATTCAGTTTACTGAGCACAACACCTCACGCCAGACACTCATGTTTGTTATTGGCTCTTCGGGCAACGGCTGTGTGGCCCCTAGGAATTTGGAAACAGGAAATAATTCTGAGAATTAAACTGTGAAATCAAGGCAGAATGGATCAGAGCAGAGGTCTCAAAGTCACCAGAGAGGGACAGGGGCTCAGCCTGACTAAAGGTGTCCCTGAGCAGAGAGGCTGGTCTGCCATGGCAGCAGAGCAGAGGGGACTGAGAGGCCTGAGCAACATGGGGCGTTCCTCACATTCTCCAGAGAACCCCCCTGCCCTGCCCTGCCCTGCCCCATCTGGACCACCCAGCAGACGGCTCCCCAGAATGGTCCCCTCAAGAACTCACGTGTCCTGATGACATGATCCACAGTGCTGCAGGCACTGGCCAGCCCTTGCTGCGGCTTCTCTGGCCGCAAGCCCCAGTGGACCTTTTGCAGGCCTGAAAGATGTCCCTTCGGGTCTCTTTTCCTGTGAGGGTAACTGGGGACTGAAAGCCCAATGTGGATGGAACGGCAGTCTGTGGGCACAGAATAAAAGAGAGGGTAGGTAGAGTTACTGAAAATTGGCATTTCTCCTTAATATTTTCCAGTTACAAAGAGCTGAGGCCACTGAAGAAGATCAGAAGGCAAAGCATTCCTGGACGGGGCCACTGGGCTTGATAGAATTCCAGTTCTGAACCAACTCCCCAGTTGCTGGAAGGGAGACCCTTGGCCCTATAGTTAGAATTCTGTCAGAATGAGCAGAACTCCCATCTCCCCATTCTTGCTAGTCCAGAGCAGCAATAAACACATATGGTTCATGACACATGGTCCAGGAGAGAGCCCCTCGGTGGGTCACATATTTAGTTCAAAATGCCAAGCCCCGGCTTCAATTGTTATGGGAAAGCCATATGCATTTCCATCAAGGGCCATTTTTACTAACAACCAAGGACTATGTGAACTACTACTCATCAGAGAGGTGAGTTATTAAGGATTTCTCAAAGCTGGTTTTGTAAACTAGAATTTTCAAGAACTAGAGCTACCAAGAACCCTAATTCAGCATTCCACTAAGAAGCCTGGCTGCTATGTAAATCCCCCACTAACTGTACACATAGAGGCAGCTAGAATTCCCTCAGACCTCAGAAAGGACGTTCTGCCACCAGTTTCTCATCCGTATTGTCTTGAGTTGGTCAACAATTTTAAAAATAATTAATAGTCTTTTTAGCACAATTTTAGATGTACAGAATAATTGAGCAGATAATACATGAAGTTCCATGTACCCTACCATATGCCACCTCAAGTTTCTCCTATTATTTTTTTAACTTGGGTTGTGATTGACATATAATATTGTATTAATTTAATGTGTACAACATAATGATTTGATATACATATATCTGCAAAATGATTACCACAATAAGTTCAGTTAACATCCATCACCACACATAGTTACAAATTTTTTTCTTGTGATAACTTTCAAGATTTAGTCTCTTAGCAACTTTCAAGCATACAATACACTATTGTTAACTACAGTCACCGTACAGTACATCACATCCCCATGACTAATTTATCTTATAACTGAAAGTTTGTGCCTTTTGACCACCTTCACCCAATTCCTCACATCCCACCCCCAGCCTCTGGTAACCACCAACCTATTCCCTGTTTCCATGAGTTTGGATTTTTAGATTCCATGTATAAGTGAGATCATACAGTATTTGTCTCTCTGTCTAAGACACTTAGCATAATGTCTTCAAGGTCCATTCATGTTGCAAACGACAAGATTTCTTTCTTTTTTATGGCTGAATAATATTCATATGTATATCACATTTTCTTTAACCATTCAACTGCTGATGGACACTTAGGTTGTTTCCATGTCTTGACTATTATAAATAATGCTGCAATGAACATGAGAGTACAGATATATTTTCAAGATAATGATTTCATTTTGGGGGGGTATATACCCAAAAGTGGAATTGCTGGATCATACAGTAGTTCTGTTACTAATTTTTGAGGAATCTCCATACTGTTTTCCACAGTGTCTGCACCAATTTGCATTCCCACCAACAGTGCACAATGGTTTCCTTTTCTCCACATCCTTGCCAACATTTGTTATCCCTTGTCTTAGATGACAGCCATTCTAACAGTTGTGAGGTGATATCTCATTGTGGTTTTAATTTGAATTTCCCTGATGATTTAATGATGTTGAGCACATATTCAAGTACCTGTTAGCCATTTGTATGTTTTCTTTGGGAAAATTTCTATTCAGTTTCTCTTCCATTTTTAAATTGTATTTCTGTTTTGTTTTTCTATTGAATTGTATGAATTCTTTATATATTTTGGGTATTAACCTCTTATCGGATATGTGATTTGCAAATATTTTCTCCCATTCTGTAGGTTACCTTTTCATTTTGTTGATAATTTCCTTTGCTGTGCAGAAGCTTTTTAGCTTGATGTAGTTTAACTTTGTTTTTTATTTTGTTGCCTTTGCTTTTGATGTCAAATTAAAAAAAATAATTGCCAAGACTGATGTCAAGGAGCTTACCCCTTATGTTTTCTTCTAAGAGTTTCATGGTTTCAGGTCCTAAGTTCAAGTCTTCAATCCATTTTGAGTTGATTTTTCTGTATGGTGTAAGATAGGGGTCCAGTTTCATTCTTTTGCATGTGGCTGTCAAGTTTTCCCAATATCATTTATTGAAGACACTATCCTTTCCCCATTGTATATTTTGGCTCCTTTGTTATAAATTAATTGACTATATATGTGTGGATTTATTTCTGGGCTCTCTATTCTGTTCCATTGATCTATATGTCTGTTTTTATGCCAATACCATACTGTTTTGAATACAGTAGTTTGTAATATAGTTTGAAATCAGGAAGTGTGATCTTCAAGCTGTGTTCTTCTTTCTCAAGATTGCTTTGGTTATTCAGGGTTCTTTGTGGCTTCATATGAATTTCTGGATTGTTTTTTATATTTCTGTGAAAAAAACATCATTGAAATTTTGATTGAGATTCCATTGAGTCTGTAGATTGTTTTGGCTAATATGGACATCTTAAGAATATTAATTCTTCCAGTCCATGAACATGGAATATCTTTCCATGCATTTGTGTTGTCTTCAATTTCTTCCATCAGTGTCTTACAGTTTTCAGTGCACAGATCTTTTATCTCCTCGGTTAAATTTTTTTCTAGGTATTTTATTCTTCTTGATACAATTGTAAATGGAATTGTTCTCTTAATTTCTCTTTCTGAAAGTTCATTGTTAGTGTATAGAAATGCAACTGATTTTTGTATATTGATTTTTATCCTGAAATTTTAATTTAAAATAATTTCTTAAATTCTAACCATTTTTTTGGTGGAATTTTTATCATTTTCTATTTATAATATCATGCCATCTGCAAATAGAGACAGTTTTACTTTTCCCTTTCCAATTTAAAAATTTCTTCTTCTTGCCTTTTATTTCTTTTTCTTGCCTAATTGCTCTGGCTAGGACTTCCAGTACTATTTTGAATAAAAGTGGCAAGAGTGGGCACCTTTGTTCTGTTCCTGATCTTAGAGAAGAGCTTTCAGCTTTTCATCATTGAATATGATGTTAGCTATGGGCTTGTCATATATGGCCTTTATTATATTGAGGAACATTCCCTCTATAGCCAGTTTGTTGAGTGTTTTTTTTTTTAATCATGAATGGATGTTGAATTTTGTCAAATGCTTTTCCTGCATCTATTGAGATGATCATATAATTTTTATTCTTCATTTCATTAATGTGGTGTATCACATTGACTGATTTGTGGTAAAAATTTTCCCTAGGGCTGGTCAACAGCTATTGAACATTATGACTATTTCTGAAGCCCAAGAATAGCAGCTAAAATTTGAAAGTCTGTGGCAGAGTGGGAAATTGGACTTTGTGTTCTTACATCAAGATCTACACTAACTTTGTGAGGGGTTTTTTTGGGGGGGGGTTGTTTTGTTTTTGTTTGTTTGTTTGTTATTTTCCCTTGGAGGAGAGGGCTGCCTGTTGGCTCAAACTCCTGAAGCTGACATACTAGATGCCTGGGCATCACTGACTGCACATATCACACTGAAACCACATGAAGCTGAACCTTGAAGAAGCATGTCTAGGCCTTTTAGAGACATGTTGAATGCCCACTCTGGTGAGCAGATTCTGTGTTAGTCTACGCTGGCTGGTGCATTACTAGGCACTGGAGAGTAAGGTTACATGGATATCAGTGTCCAAATCTCTTTAGAACCCCAGCTCACCCCCACCTTATCCTACTGCTTGCTCTTCTGGACCCTCAATCTCTCGTGGGTGTAATGAGAAATTTGAGGTAGATACCTTTATGAAGCACAGCCTCACTTCCTAGTGAACCAGTATCAGAATGGCTGGTGCATCTCCTTCTTTCTCTCTCCTACACTGAGCCTGAGCAAACTGTAATCTGAGGTAAGCCATGGTCACAAATATTTAGAGATAAGTAGTTCTACTCTAAAGGTTTAGCATATTTGGTTCTTTCAATGATGAGTTCCTATTCTCCACCCTTGAGGCCAGGAATGGAAATGAGAGGCAGCAGATGTATCAGAAAGGCCTCTACCAAGAGTTAGCTGCCCTGGGTGCTCCCTGGCTTGTTCTTCACCTGCTGTATGGCCATGCACATCTGCCTCTTTGGGACTCAGTGTTCTCACTGATAGTGCAGGAATAAAAATTCTTTCTCTACTGGCTAGGCATGGTTCTTGAGAAGATAGAATGGAATGGTGAATGGGAACATGATTTTCAGAATTGTGAGGGGTTATACAAACAAAGAGCACCCTTTTTTAAAAAAAAAATCAGGGGATGGTTGTCAGGGAAATATTTTCTTTCTGCCATGGATCTAACTTGTCTCATTTTCTCCACTATAACCGTCAGAGTGTGGCTGTTTAGCTGGTAAACTGTAGGGAATCACTAGCTCACCCCCAGCTTGTTTCTTTGCTCTGCAGGACCTCTCTTCTCACTGTGAACATCTTGTAGTTTAGCTCAGGACAGTGCCAGCTCCTCACTGCATTCTTCTTCATCAACAGCCCCAGAGTGACTCTACACGTTCCTCAGCTCAGGAAGCATCCAGCTGGACAGGAAGATTACTGTCTCCCTCCAAAAGGGCTGGGGTAGTGTCTCTTCATAAACTCTGTGGCTGCTTTTCTGTAGAATGTAGGATACTTAGGGTCTCTGAGTGAGCAATTCTGGAGCAACAAAAATATCCCCACTCAATATCCTCTTTCACTGATTTTACCTGAGCTGCCATTTTTAGAATCTATAAAAAGTTGATATTTGGCATTTAGTATGATTTGTAGAGCTTGTAAAATAAGTGAGTTTAATTTTGTGTTGGAGAAGCTATGCCGTAATCCTAGTACCAGTTACCTGCCTCCAACCTGACCACGTGGTCCCTTTAAGACATGGTTAAGGCTGGTCCCACCTGATCTAGGGGAGACACTGTGGGTGGGTCAGGGAAAGGGACCAACTCTCTAGTTTTCACAGCTGGAAGGGCTGTTATAAGGATATCCAAGGAATTCCCAGACCCTCCAAGAATTTGCATCAAGTTCTCAAGGTGAACTTACCTTCCTGATCCTGACATCGCCTCCTGTAGTTAGGGGGGTCCAGCTTCCCTACCCCAGCCTTTTCCTCCTCCACCTTCATAACTATAAAGTAAAAGATGAACACAGCCTCAAAATGTATATGACACAAAAAGGTAAAATTTCAAGGAGAAATGGTCAAATTCATACTCATAGCAGAAGACCTTAGTGCAGATGAAAAAAATTAAGACAAAAGAACATATAAACAAATTGAGGAAGCTCAAATATATATATGTTGGGGAGATATATATATATAAGAGAACACATTTCTTTTTCAAGTACAAATGGAACATTTACAAAGAGAGCACATATACTAGGTCTCAGGAAAGCCTTAGTAAATTTTAAAGAATCTGTATCATACTTCTACAGTAAAAAAACTAAAAACAAAAAAACGCAAAACTATACAGATTATCTGTGGGTTCTGCATCCATGAATTCCACCAACCATGAATGAAAAATATTTTTTAAAAGTATTCCAGAAAGTTCCAAAAAGAAAAACTTGAATCTGCCACACACCAGCAACCATTTACATAACATTACATTGTATTTACAACTTTTTACATTGTATTTACATTGTTAGGTATTATAAGTAATCTAGAGATGATTTAAAGCATACAGGAAGAGGTACATTGGTTTATACACAAATACTATGCCACTTCATATAAGGGACTTAAGCATCACAGATTTTGGTATGGAGTGGGCAGTCCTGGAACAAATCACCCACAGATACAAAGGAATGACTATATATATAAATAAATATATAAATACATATTTATATATATGTGTATAATAAATATATTATATATACATATACTTGGAAACATATATATATACATATATCATTAGAAAAATAATTTCTAATGATGGGCTTAACAGGAAATCACAATGGAACTTATTACATATTTAGACTTGAATTACAACTTGAAACTTGTGGGTTACAATATACTTTGAGAAAAAAGGGAGAAAGGAAAGAAAGAGGGAGGGAGAGAGGAAAGTAGAAGGAAAATAAATGTGATAAGCAGTTAACTAAAGAACCTAGAAAAAAATGAGAGAGAAAAGAAGGTAGAAGAACATAAATATAAAAGATGAAAGCAACAAATAATGAAATAGAAAGCAACTGAGCATAGAGATGGTTAATAAATCTAAAGGCAACTATTTGAAAAGATTATTAAAATAGGCAAACCATGCAAGACTAATCAATAAGAAAAGAGAATATTCATATGTAAACAACATTTGGAATGAAAAAGGGATGTAACTAAAAATATAGTAGAGAATTTTAAAATTATAAGTGAATGCCATGAAAAACTTCACGCCAATATGTTTTAACTTAGATAATAATAACAGCTACTGTTGCAATGTGCCAGGCATTATTTTAAATGCTCTGCTCTGCATGTATGACTTACTTGAATCTTCACTATAGGTAACATTGTTGTTCCATTTTACAGATGAGGAAACTGAGGCACAGAAGGCATAATTGACTGCTCAAAGGGGGGAACAGCAATTCAAACCCAGACTGCCTGTTTCTGGAACTATAGCTCTTAGTCACAAGGCTAATAAACAGATAGTTGATTAGAAAAGTAATAGAAATGATCAAATAACTTAAAAAAATTAGAAACTCCAAATTAACCAATAACTGAAATGGTTACGGGAAAAGCATCACAACCAGTCATATATTGATAATTATTGAAGGTGCTTTGTAGGGACAAAAGAATCATCATATTATTTTTTCTATTTTTATTAAGTTTGAAAATTTTCTGTAATGAAAAGAAAAATGAACACCAGAAGCATAGAGGGTTTTTTTAAAATGTTTTATCTGAACCTTCAAGTATATATAGTCTCTAACTTGTACAAAATTGTTCTCAAAAGTAGAGAAAGGGGAGTTGGAGGTAGTCGTTTCACCTGAACACCAGGATAGAGGATGGGGCCGAAAACAGGAGAGTTGGTTGAAAATCTTCATAAGGACTAAGTTAAACCCTCAGATCTCGCTCCTAGGTTCAGTCTCCTAGAATGGCTCCCCTATCCCAGAAGATGGAAGAGTTAACTCAGATGGCCCTTGGATAGTTGAGAGCAGGAAGATGTCATTTCACTGGGGGAAAAAAGGATTTAATTAAAAATAGTGAGCCACTCAGCCCTCTCCTAGAACAGTAATGAAGCTTACACACTCCAGGTAGGAGACTGGAGGACTTAAAGATTCTGACATTTTGGAGATCTTTAACAAAATAGTTAGGACTCCACCCAATTGCCCACCTTGAGTCTAGCATTCAAGAAGTCCAGGCTGTCAAACAGCTGTTTAGCAGCTCCACTCCAAATTATGATGGCCAGCAGAATCACCAGAATGACACAGACCAAAACAAACAGGAAAAGACAAAGTCCAAGAAAACAGGAGCACTGCAAGCAGCCAAAGAACCACTTGAAAACCATATAATTAACATCTTCAAGTGGACTAGAAAAAAAAATTGTATCCATGACAAAAAGAAAAGCAGAATGCTATAAACCTGGAACTTTTAAAGAATAAGATAGAACTCTTGGAAATTAAAGAGATGTTACAAGAAAACTTTCAATACAAGAGTTGGAACATGAAGTTGAAAAAATACATCAGATAATAGAGCACAAATACAAAGAAAAATTTTAGGAAAAAGACAAGGAAATCAGGGGATCAATCCAGGGGTTCCAAAATCAAAGTAGTAGGAGTTTCTGAAAGAGAAATCAGGAAAAATGGTAGGGAGGAAGTTATTATTATTACTACTTTTTTTTTTTTTTTGCGGTACACGGGCCTCTCACTGTTGTGGCCTCTCCTGTTGCGGAGCACAGGCTCCGGACGCGCAGGCTCAGCGGCCATGGCTCACGGGCCCAGCGGCTCTGCAACATGTGGGATCTTCCCGGACCAGGGCACGAACCCGTGTCCCCTGCATCGGCAGGTGGACTCTCAACCACTGCGCCACCAGGGAAGCCCCATAGAGGAAATTATTAAGAAAATGACATAAGAACACTTCCCAGAACTGAAGGATTTGACTCTCTTGATTGAAAGGGGCTGCTGAGAGCTCAGAAAAATACTTTTTTAAAAAAAAATCCACTCCAGGACTTCCCTGGTGGCTCAGTGGTTAAGAATCCTCCTGCCAATGCAGGGGACACAGGTTGGAGCCCTGGTCGGGGAAGATCCCACATGCCATGGAGCAACTAAGCCTGTGAGCCACAACTACTGAGCCTGTGCTCTAGAGCCCGTGAGACACAACTACTGAAGTCCACGCGCCTAGAGCCTGTGCTCTGCAACAAAGAGAAGCCACCACAATAAGCCCATGCACTGCAATAGAGTAGCCCCCGCTCTCCACAACTAGAGAAAGCCCATGTGCAGCAATAAAGAAGACCCAACACAGCCAAAAATACATATGTACATACATACATACATACAAAAAATCCACTCCAACTCACATCATCATGAAGTTTTAGAATATTACATATAAAGAGAAGACCTTAAAAGCTTCCAGAATAAGAATATAATTCACCTACAGAGAATCCACCATGAAAACTGGCATTGATTTCTGAATAGCCACAGTGGAAGCTATAAGACAAGGGATTCATGCCTTCAAAACTGAGGAAAAATTATTTCCAACCTAGAATTTCAGTCCTAACTAAGCTATCAATCAAATGTGAGAGTAGAATAAGGGCATTTTCAGGCATGAAATGTCTCAAAAATTTTCTCAGGAAGTGATTGAAGCAAGATGAAGGAACATCAAAGAAAGGAATATGGCATCTGGGAAATGGGATTCACCACAAAAGATTGGCACAGGTAGGTCCTAGGAGGGGAGCTATGCCGCAGTCCAGGGAGCAACAGGTGCATCTTAGATCACACTCTGGACAGGATGTCTCCAAGGAGAACCTAGAACTGATCAATTATCTGGATGAATTTGACTATTTCGAGAGGGTACCGAGATTCTACCAAGAATAAAGAATTGTAGAAAGGAAAAGTAATCATGGTACACTATGCAAGTCAGCTGTGAGCAAAATTTATACAGTCATAATGAATAAAAATAAACGTTAATTTTATCAAAAATTATGATATAAGTAAAGTTGGTTTTCCAATATGCACCAGTATGGCTTCTGTTTGTGGCTGGTATCCATTCTTAACAGTTGGGTATTCATTCTGATTGGTTGGTGTTGGCGCCATATTGGTTGTGAAATATTTTGAATGTCTCCACTGGATATAACGATTTGGGGATGATGGGGAAACAAGGTGGGGCTGTGTGCATGGAGGCCCGTGTGGAGGACACTGCTAGCTACCTGCCTGATGTCTGTCTCCTCTTCTGTTCTTATTTTGTTCAGGGCAGCAATGTGGCCAACTGAAAATAATCATTTCCCCCAGATGCCCTTCAGCAATCCCTCTCTAAAGAGATGTAGGTGAAAGAACCTGGAGAAAGATTCCCTTCCTGGATAAAGCCTCTCCCAAAGAAACCCCCTTCATTTTTCCTTCTTCCCCCTCCCTCCCTGAATAGGGTTGCTAGATTTAGCAAACAAAAATACAGTTTCTCCAGGTTAAATATGAACTTCACATACACAATAAATAATTTTTAGTATAAGTATACCCTATGCTCTATGTTTTTATTAATTTATTTATTTTTGGCTGCGTTGGGTCTTTGTTGCTGCATGCAGGCTTTCTCTAGTTGTGGCAGTCGGGGGCTACTCTTCGTTGCAGTGAGCAGGCTTCTCATTGCGGTGGCTTCTCTTGTCGTGGAGCACGGGCTCTAGGCGCGAGGGCTTCAGTAGTTGTGGCACATGGGCTTAGTTGCTCTGTGGCATGTGGGATCTTCCCCGACCAGGGCTCGAACCCGTGTCCCCTGCATTGGCATGCAGATTCTTAACCACCGCACCACCAGGGAAGTCCCCCCGTGCACTATTTGAGATATACTTATACTAAAAAACTATTCACTGTTCATCTGAAATTCAAATTTAACTGGGCAAACTGTATTTTATCTGGTAAACCGTATTATATCTGGCAAATTATATTTCATCCTTATATCTAGAGCCTGGAACATGATGCCTGGAAGTGCAGCAGCCATCTTTTCATCATGGGAGTGAAGGCCATATGCTAACTATGGATACAGGGGACGAAGGAGCCTGTGTCCTTAACATCTTCAGTGAACCACTCTACTAGCACTGGACAGCCCACATTTGGACTTCTTTTTATGGTGAAAAATTAAACCACTAAATTTATAGTTAACTTTTCTGTTACTCAAAACCACACCTGAATTAAAAGACTCTGGGAAAATAAGATTGGGTTCTGCTAGTAAGGAAAACAGGGAGAATGGGCACTGGGTGCTCATCTAGAAGTGTCTGCTACACTTTCCAACGTTCGTTCCTTCCTCTCCTTGCCTGTTTATAGAACCCCATTTTGCTCAGATAGGGACACAGGGCCCTTGATTGCCATACATACCTTCCCCAACCCCAGACATAAATTGTGACCTGTCTAAACCATTCATTGTAATCTTATGGCCCTTGGCCAGTAAATGATCCTAGGAGTAGTCATGTGACCCTACCTACCGAGCCAATGAGATTTAATGGAAGTCTACTGGGTAGAGTTTCCAGGAAAACTTTTATCTTCCTAATAAGAAGTGACAGACACAGTTAGAATGCATGTTTTGCTCTTTACCTTCCCTTTTTTCCTGCACAGACTCTAGGCATGAGACTTCTAGATGAAGCAGTCATCTTGCAACAATGATGTGACAGGTATGAAAACCAAAGCCACAGGTTAAGGACAAAGCAGAAGGCTAGAATAAACTTGGGCTCCTGATAAAACCACTGAGCTCTAGACTGTTTATCTCTGATCTTCCTGTTATGTGAAAGGAAAAAATCTACCTAGTATATTTAAACTACTAGCCAAGTTTTATGTTACTTTTAGCTGAAGGTCTTCCTAACTGATACATAATGGAAAGCTATAGGGAGTTTAAATGAATGAACTAGATCTCTATGTGTCACCTGTAGAAACCTCAGTAACATAATGAATAAAAAAAGCAAGTTGTAAAAAGATACAAACAAAATGACATTATTTATATAAAACTTTAAAACGCACAAAACACTGCCAATGTTATTTATTGCTACATTTATAAGTAATAGAAGCATAAAATCATGCAGGGGAATGAGACACACTAACTTCAGGTTACTTCTGGGGACAGGTAAGGTTTAATGGTGATGTTTCAGCTGTATCTTTGATAGATATAGATATGAAGCAAATATGATAAAATGTTAACATCTGCTAATTCTGGACAATGAAATATAACTATCATTCTACAGGTTTGAAATATTTTATTATTAAAATTTTAATTTTTTAAATAAATAAGATTATTCCCCAGCACTATGACATAGTAGTCTCAAATAAAATGGGCCAACTGAGTACTCTACACAAAGAATGATTGGGAAGAAAAATCCTCACACTTTGATATGTCAGTATGAAATTTTAGAATATTAAGTGTGAAGAAAAGAAAAATCCTAAAAACTTTTAAGGAAACAGGAACAGGTCACCTATAAATGAATAAAAATCAGACTATCAGAAGACTGCTCTTTAGGAACTTAGACAAGAGAAGATGCCAGACCAATGCCTTCAAAATTCTGTGGGAGAATAGTTTCCAGCCTAGCATTCTCTATTTAGCCAAACCACCAGTCAAGAGAGAGGGTAGAAGACAGTTTAGGATATGCAAAAAATAATTTCACTTCTCTCTCATATCTTCTTAGGAAGTTATGTATGTATAATAGATATTACCTCCATTAACAAAGAAGGGGAAGACAATGGGATCCAGGAGAGAGGGGTTGAAACAGAAAGGTAATGAAGGAAGGTCCCTGGACAACAGCTGTGATATAGCCCTAGGGAGCAGTCAGTCCTCAAAATAGCTAAAAATGAGGTTTCAGAAAGAACCACCAAGGAAAAGATGAAATTCAAGAGACTTAATACACTCCTTGAGAACTTGGAACAACTTAAGGAAGTGACAAAGACAGAAAGTGCAAAGGGGAACTTCCCTGGTGGCGCAGTGGTTAAGAAGCCACCTGCCAATGCAGGGGACACAGGTTTGATCCCTGGTCTGGGAAGATCCCACATGCCACAGAGCAACTAAGCCTGTGTGCCACAACTACTGAGCCTGCACTCTAGAGCCTGCAAGCCACACTACTGAGCCCACATGCCACAACTACTGAAGCCCACATGCCTAGAGCCTGTGCTCCACAAGAGAAGCCACCACAATGAGAAGCCCACACACCGCACAAAGAGTAGCCCCCACTCGCTGCAACTATAGAAAGCCTGCGCACAGCAATGAAGACCCAAAGCAGCCAAAAAATAAATAAGTAAAATTTAAAAATGAAAAAAAAAAGAAAGTGCAAAGAAAAAGAAAGCAATTAGAAACACCAGGGAAAATTAAAACTGTAAGAAATAAAATGTGATTATGGTATATACATAATCATAAGAGCATAAACACTGATTTTTAACTAAAAACAGCAATGATATATCTACATTGGAAGTATAAAGAAGAGGAGATGGGTGTTGTGTATGATAGTTAAATAGTCACCTGTAGGTGACTGATATCTAACTTTGATAACTAGCAGGAGATTTATTATCATTATTATTATTATTTTAGAGGGGTGTAGGTAACCAACAAAAAAACCTAAAAGAATTCCAAGTGAGAGATCAAGATGGCAGGCAGGAAGACAC